AGGTGTGCAAGCTCTAAAATGTGTTGGTGATACTTCGTTGGATTATTAATGTTAGAAAAAAGGAAGTCTCTCAGCTTGCAAAAGCAAGGCGGTAATTTTATAGATGGAAATAAGGATTTAAAATCCATTACGGTCATTAGTTAGCTGTTTTATTTATTGATAAGGCCTTTTCTGTAATAACTCGTCAAGATATTCCTTCCGATAAAACATTCATCCATCTAGAGCAGTCCAGTGTTTCTCAACCTCTAATGAATCGTCGCCCCTTCAACGTAGTATCGCCCCCTTCAATAAAATTGTTACATAGTATCACCCCCTTCACTACAAAATTTCAATGCCGAGGGACAAGGCTAACGCCAAATTTGTATTGCATTGAATAGACTAGTGACTAATATAATGTTATTTGTTTAATTGTTGTACGATATAACAAATAAAATATCTAATTATTCTTAATATAATGTTTTACTATATCGCCCAGAAAATTGTTTTTTGCCCCCAAAATATAAATTGTTACTAATCGCCTCCTCAGTGTGGAAAAACGCCCACATGGGGGCGATATCACCCCCGTTGAGAAACACTGATCTAGAGTGTTGAATTAGGTGGCCAATCATGTCATTTCTCCTTTTCTTTATCATTTTCAAAATCTCGTTCTTCTCTGTTGTCTCTTCCAAAACATCCTCATTCCTCTTTCTCTTTGTGGACAGAGAGAAAGAGGAATGAGGATGTTTTGGAAGAGGCTCTTAAAACACACACTCTGGATTTTAGTAGTGCCATGCCCTGTACGTCATAATTTTCCTGTTAACAAGAGAGTTATGCTGGTCATCTGTTAACTTCATTCTGGGGAAAATTTTTTAATTGAAATCACGTGACTTCCAGTCTAGACTGGAAGTTTGTATATATTTAATTGGGGTTTTCTGCTCCTAATTTTTCCATATCTGGTTTTATCTTTCAACTATTTAACTCTGATCTTGAGATTAAGGAAGGAGACAGACAGGCAGTCACAACAGACAGATGGTTGCCAGTGGAAATTTATAGGTCCCAAAAAATTGCAGCTCAAATAGCTTTTTGCATCAAATTTTCATATATTGAGTACTTTTAAATTAGGGTCACACTGTATGTCATTGAAATATTGAAATGAAATTAAGTTTATATTAATTATATATTACTTATATATTTAATATTAATGTATAATAAACTTTTCAGAGTGTGATACATTGATACTCAACCAAACAACCAATTTATAGCACATAATCGTGCTATAAATTTTGCTATTATTAATGATTAGATATTCAATAATTTGGTAATAAAGGTAAACATTATGCACCATCACTTATCTAAATTAATAATTATAATTTTTAATAGTTCTAAATTATTTAATATATTGTCTGGAAAAAAAGAACTAGCCTGAAGCGGGATTTGAATCTGCAACCTCTGCTTTCGTGTGGTGTGTTTGCCAGTATGTCCAAGCAATTTTTTGGTTCCATATTGGTGTAACTGGCAAGCGCACTACACTATAAGATGTGGGTTTAAATCCAATTTTGGGCTAGTGGTTTCTTTCAGACGATTCTAAATTATTTAATATATTATTAAAAATTATAATTATTAAGTTAGATAAGAGATGGCACATAACATCTATCTCTAATACCAAATTACTGAATATCTAAACATTAATAATAGCAAAATTTATAGTTTGATTAATTACAGCTATTGTTTGGTTGAGTATAATATTACTATTTAACTGTAATATCAAGCACATGTGATTGTTGTATTGAAAATCATTGAATTTAAATGATGGTAATTCATTAAATTTTAGAAATTAAGAAGGCAGAACTGCAATAATACTTGGAGAAAAAATTGTTTTATATTGTACATTTCTGATGCAAAAAATGCTTCTAAGATTAATTTTGATTTATATATCCACAAATTTACGTCTAAAATAAATAATCATAATAAATTTAAAAAATCACTCATTTATTATAGTTAAACATTTTTCAGAAAAATCTTATCATGTCAGATTAATGAATAAGAACATAAAAGCCTTCACAAATCTTTTAAACATGAGATATCTAGAATACTCAATTTTTGTTAAATTAAAACAACAGAACAGTCCCCTTTTTTCCTTCTGTTAACATTTAAAATATTTAAATAATTTACGTTTAGAATATTTTGAAAGGGTTTTTATGTTCATGTTGATTGTTTATGCTAATACATTTGATCTTCAAAGTAAATTTATTAGACAAATCATCCCAAACATTTAATTGTAATAAATTGTAAACCTTGAATTTTATCAATATTAGCAATATTATGTCACTTAAATCTGAATATTGTTAACCAAAATACTTATTCCTTAAGGAAATGTTTCTAAAGCTGCAATTTCCAATCGGGTATGCATACCCCAGGGACACGTACTTGGTGGTTTAGGATTATGCGAAAAAAAATTAATAATGGAGGATGTATTATATGAATATTCAGATTCTGTGTTGAGGCCTTTGGTGACACAATGCTAGGTTTTAAGTAAAAATATAATTATATTTTTTATTATTTGATTATATTTATCAGTGTCCTTTCTCCAATGCTTTTCAATTAAAAAAAACTGTTATACAGAAGTGTACAATTACATGTAAAATTGATCAAAGTGCCACGTTTGATGAACATGTGAATTAAAACTTAGGAAAATTGGTTGCCAAGAGGTAAATCCAGAAAGGTTGGGAATTGCTGTTCTAAAGGAATGAGTATTATCCTAGCACTTAGTTTATTAATATTTGATATTTTAATATTGTATCAAATTTCATACAATTCTTTGATTAAAAATAAGCCTTAATGCTTGGCAAGTCGGAGGAAGTGGGTTGTATTCTTCTAAAGAACAAGGAGTAATTCGTGTTTGATGTTATAATAAATATTAAAATATATTTCTCTTGGTAGCTGAAATGTGTGCATGTGTGTATTTTCTTTTCTTTATTAACAAATACAGTGAGTGATTGGTTAACGAACAAATCATATAACAAACACTTTCGCGAAAGATTTTTATGTTCAGACAACGAACACATGATTGGGTAACGAACACTTCACAGAACAAACAAGAAGAAATGATGTAAAATAATTAATACCGATTGGTCTTTCCTTGTCTTCAGACCACAATTCAAAACTTTTTGGAGCACAGGAGACGTCGACGTTGATGCTCAACCTGATATATACTGATCGGATAGTATTCCTCTGAACTTTTCTCCCTTGTAATTCCAGCTTTTTATTTTTTTGACAGAAACAATTCTTTTATAGTATTCGTGAGACTGTCGGGCAGGCACTCATTAAGTTTTGCATTGGTTTTTATTTTCGAATGGTGAGATTATAATAGCAAAGATAGAGAGTGGGAAGATAATGTCTGTTGTTGCTGGGCAGTATGGCTTGAACAGGTCTACAGTAGACCACAGTTCAATCTTATCTAAGAAAGATTCAATATAATCAAGAAGACTCAAGCAGCTTAAGAAGTAACAAAAATCACATCTGAGAAATAAAGAAATTGAAAAGCTCATAATGGAACCTGAAATGGATCTGACAACAGAATGCCAAGAACTCTCAATGAAGAACACCAAGAAACTCGACATGTTCTGAAAAAGAGAATTAATGTTAATATCTGCTATTAAACATTTTTTGAAGAAGTGGGATGATGTCAGAATGACAGTCTTAGAATGACATCCAAACCAGGTTAGGTTAGGGGGATATCTACAATTACAATGCTATTAATTACTTCTGAAAAATCTTGAAGAGAGAAAAACAATTGACATTGGACAGATTCTTTACCCCCACAAACAGAAAAAACATGACTAATAAGAATACAAGACTACATATATATGTATTTTTACTATTACATATAAATAAATGTAATAAATAAAAAATATAAAAATATACTTTTTTATTTTTTGGATATTTTGTTTTTTATTTTTTGGAGTTTCCGGAATGAATTAATCAAATTCCCATAGAAACCTATGGTAAATTAATAATTGGTTAACAGACAATTTGGATAATGAACAAAGTATTGGAATGGATTATGTTTGTTAACTGATCACCCACTGTACAGTGGTTTCTCATACTTCGAATGCTTCACAGTTCAAATGCCAAATTTGGCAAAAGTTTGTTTCAGAGTTTGAATGATGTTTCAAAGTTCGAGTGGCAGGTGGAATGAATAATGCAGAAGGATAAAATAAGCTTCTGAACAAAGATTATACTCTCAAATTAGCAATAATGTGTTAAAATTCACAATTGTTATGATTAAATCACACATCTATGTTAAGTAAGAACAACTGTTAAAAATAGGTAAAAACTTTGTTCAACCCAGTATCATCTTTACTTATTAATCATGGCATTTGAGAAGTGTGTGGAAGCAATGAAGTCTAACTAGTAAGAGGAAGGCTTGAAAAAGGCTAAGATGAAAAAGGAACTTTTTGTGAAGCATGAAAGCAGTACAGGTGGAAGATTGATAGGCCACTTTGGTGGTGATGTGTATGTAAGATGCAAAAGTTGATGGTGTGTGACCAGTAAATGCAATTTTCATTTTATTATATATTATTTATGTATTTTATTTGTTTTCATATTTTAATTTATTATTAAGGCACTCAATTGTGTTATTTTTACCTTAAATTATGTGTATTTTCCTTTTTTAAGTTTATTGAAATGGGTATTGTTTAGGATCTGGGAATGGATTAACTCACTTTCCATTATTTCTAATGGGAAAATTGCTTCAGACAGAACAATTGAGTTTGAACAACTTCCTGGAATGAATTGAATATGAAATATGAAACAGCATTGTATCTTGATTATATTTTGCTTAGACTTATTCTTTTTCAAAAAAATGTTAACAACTTTTCAATGATATAAAGTAATTAGCAAATTTTCTAAAATTTAAATTCTGTTTATATGTTAAATTTCAGCTATATCAATTAAGTTTTTGTTTCATTTAATTTAAAATTTTCTTCCAAAACTTTAATAAATATTGTTAAATTTTATAGGTCCAGTATCAGCTAAAGATATAAGTAGCAGACTAGGTATATCCGAATTAGTTATAAAATCTGTCTTAGTTCAACTCTTACAACAAGGTTTGGTTGGAAGAGAGGAAAGAAACCCACCCTTATGGACGGCTGCCCAAATTGATGAAACTGTTAAAGAAAATACCACTAGCAGGATTTTAGTGAATGCTGTAGCAGAAGCAATTGTAAAACATCTTGCAGACTCTCAAATTCCAGTGAATAGTTCTGACATTGCTGAAACACTTGGATTTCGCAGTAAGAAGGAGATTAATCCAATATTGTACAGGTTACAAAAAAAAGGTATTGTTAGGAAAGTTAATGATGTTCCACCCCTTTGGTGTGTAAGTGAAGAATTTCAACAACAAAATGAAACCCAAGGTGCTGACATGTCCCAATCACTTAATCAGTTAAGTATTGAAGCTACTAACTCTTTAATGAGAAATATAACAATTCCACCTCATTTTGCTTCAAGACTCGGAATCTCTCTCTGTAATTCTGTAAATACAAGCATGATGCGGATGTCTTCACAGGCACAACCATTTTCATCACTGCCAAGAACTGAATATGTACCTCCACTGAATAGGCCACAATCTGGAATATCTCAACAAGGTTACAATTTTGTAAATGACCGTGATCAGTCTTATTGTAAAATTGAATCTGCTGAATCTACAAATACAGTTTATGGTAATGAGGCAACAGGCACTGAAAATAATGAAACTACTGGTTTAAGGAAAAATCCTCTTAGCATATTTCATGAATATGGTCAAAAGACACGCACAGAAACAAAAGTTGAAATAGTATGTTCTGAAGGACCATCTCACAACCCAAGGTAAGCTTTAGTATATTTTACTTTAAAATTAAACTCAAGTAAAATAAATTTATTGAGAGATATTAAGTCAAAACAAAACTTTTTAAGTTAAAAATAATTTTTCTTTTTACAATAATTCTGTAGTTGTCATTAATGTAGTTGTTATAGTATTATTATAGTGGTGTTGGTAGTATCTATCATTCTTGGCTTATATATTGGTGCCTAATGCTATGCTGGACCAAGGCCAAGATACAGAATACACCATTATGTTTATCTACTGTTTGTGCATGTATCTGTTTAACAATTTCCTTGTAACATCTTATCTATTTCTATCGAGAGCCCAGAAAGTTTCTTATTGGTGTATTACATAAATGAGGGTTCAGTTAGTGCCAGGCCTGGACTTTACGCAGGCAATAAGTAATGAAAAAATTGTTAATTAATGAATCAAAAATCAAAAATAATTACTTTATGTAATAACAAAAAATCTATTTATTCTTCTAAGCCCAAATATGTAAAATAATAAAGTTAGTAAAATTCAAAATATAATAAGAATATATTTTATCGAATTCAAAAAAATTATTATATATATATATACAAGAAACTTTTCCTGAGGTTTGGGGACTTATGAATTAAATTATAACTATTGTAGAATTATCTCTACAAAACCAACAGGCAAAAATATGAAATGGAAATCTGTCAAAAATTTACAAGGAAATCTTACAAATTAGCTCAGCCTAACCATCATCAAGAAACTTTGTTGTCAAGGAAATTTGATAGCCTTAATTTAACCTCACTTGATCCTTAGCATAATTTCATTTGATCTCAAGCTTCATTTCCTTCTTATAGCGCGGTTGGTGCATTACATATTATGCCCACTCAGCTTTATTTTACATACTTATTCATTAACATTCATTTAATTCTAGTAATCTATCTTTAAGTCATGTCATCACCATTACATTTAATCTCTTATAATTTTTTGTTGTGCCTTTTGGTAACAATTTGGGGCGGGAGATCATTCTTTTAACTTCCTGTGTAAGTCTCTCCAAGATGTCATTTCTGGGTTCAGTGATGTACTTGGTTGCCACTAGCAGTTGTCATAGTAAGGCGAGTTTAATCTGAAAACATTATAGTTAGTAAATTTTTTGCTGTTTTCAAGGTTATTTTTATGTGAATTTATTTATATTTGCAAGACAGCTCTGATTTAGTGAGTTTTAGTTCTATAATTTTTCCCAGGTGAAGTATAGTAATCTATCCTTAATGAAATAAAATTCTCCAAAATAGAATAATGAACTAAAAAGAATCCCCAAATAAAATAAACTGGTTTGGAGTTGACTTCTATATCCTGACTGTGATAAGTGTTTAATAAGGCAATTTTCTGCAGTGCCTCTGGCTAGAAATGTAACGTGAAGCAATTTTTCTTTAAGTTACATTCTTAATCAATCTTAATAAGTCTTAAGATGTTTGTAGATTTTTGTGTAGTAATATAGTATGATGCCTGTGTAAGAAAGATTATGGACAGAATAAGTATCTTAACTGTTCTCTACAAGTACAGATAAATAACATCTTATCATTGCTGAGAAATATATTTAATAATATATTTCTCAGCAATGATAAGGTGTTATTTATCTGTTTTATGATTTGCTGGGTACTATTTGACATTACAAGTACAATAATACCCCAAACTTACGCAATAGGTGGGACCGAGCGATAACCGCGTAAGTCAGGATATATTTTCGCAATTTGTGTAAAATCCAAATCTGATGTATGTAAGCTATAAATGTTCTTGTTAACCTTATTTCGCCTTTTGATTCGTTCACAGTTACAAGAAATCACCACATAGTCTCTCAAGTATCTGTAGATATAACAAACACACCAAGTTAAACACCAAGTTAGAGATAAGAGAGCTGTCCGTTCGTGGTTACGGACTTTGCCCTATTTGGAAATGGAAAGAAGGAGAAAGCAAGAGGTCAAAGTGTGAAAAGAAAGGGTAATAGTAAAGTTTGAAAGGAAGGCATGGGAGGCCCCATGGGTGCCTGTATTACATTTATTGAAATAAAACCAGAAGATTACAATATGTTTACATAATATTTTAAGTGGTTGTCATAGAATACAAACTTTGAAGACTTGTGACAATTACAAAGCAGCAGGAAGCAGTTGATTTACAGAATTGGAAGGTGCAACCCAAAAACCAAAGGGTTACCAATGACAATGATGATGAGAAACTAAGAAGGAAATAGTTGTAATTGTTACCAGACAGTACAAATTTTAAAGATAAAGAGTACATTAACACATTTGTAGCGTTTTTGAGGAGAGAGGCCAATAGAAAATAAACACCAATCGGCATAAATGGATCACCATTCCGAACAAAATTAAACGGAATTGGCAGCTGGGGTACAACAAAATGTACCGGACTACAGATGGTGGCCCAACCGATACCAGCAGAAATAAAGCAGCGTTACAATACATTACACAGCACTGCTGGTGTTTACAAGAATGTTATATAGCGTACATTTACCATAATTATTTTACCTGTTTCCTCACCTCCTGTTCCACGAAAGGCGTATCTTTAGGCTGTGGCTAGTTAGTTGGTAGAACTGGTGGTCTCTCTACTGAAGCCATTGGTGCTTAGAGTCTTTGTTTTATACACAAATTGCGTTAGCCTTCTCCACAGTTTTTTGTTGCTAAATACTTCCGCTGGGTTTGGTGGCCAGTTCTGTCCCTCCATGAGACATGCGCCTATGAACGGGAGTCTGTCGTCGTCGTATTTTGAGCATGTGTAGAGGAAGTATTCCACTGTGGCCTCACTGGACTCATCACAGTCGCAGAGGTTGTTGTCCATTTTACCGAAGCGGTGGAGATAGGCATGAAAGTTGCCGTGCCCGGTCAAAATTTGGGTAGTCTCGGCATTTGGAGTGTAGTGTGTGGCCTTGACACGGTGAGTAATAGATGGAATGAAGGCGTAAGTTTTCCTCCCTGTGGCTGCATTTTCCCATTTGTGTTGCCACTCATTGATAGCTAAGTTGGTAAGCTGGTTTTTTAACCATGAATGAGGAAGTTTCTTGTAGGATGGTTCCCTGTTCAGGATGCGAGACTTCCTAGCTAGTTTATCTGCTAGTTCATTACCAGCTTGCCCTGTATGCCCAGGGATCCAATTGAAGTGGAGTTTTCTGATCTTGCTGAGGTTGTTGGCTTTGGAGATAAGATTGGCAGAAAGGCCGATGTGCCTCTTGCCATTCGTGAGGATACTAAGGGCCGTTCTACTGTCCGTGTAAAGGCATATAGTGCCCTTGTACTTGTGAATATAGTCTGTAATATGGTTGATGGCTTTGAGTATCGCCCATAACTCAGCTTAGACATTCGTGCAGTGGGCCGCCATTTTGGAATACGCCTGATATTTAATCTTGTTTTCGTTATCCATTATTGCGACTCCTGCTCCCGTACCTTCCTTACCCCTTGAACCATCCGTATAGATGCACCATGTTGCCCAGGTGTGGTTTTCCTTGGGATCGAGACATACAGTGTACCTTTGTGTCTCGTGAGGGTGGTTTGAGTCTACCTTGTTTTGATTTGTACCATCTAGGCCGTTTGCCTGAATGTCGGCCATGATGTTTGACAGGCTCCTGGTGATCATTTCCTTAACCTTGCTGATATAGGTGTTGTTGTCCTGCATGGGAGTTTGACCCCTGGAAATAAGCCAATACCAGGCGGTATATAACAAACACAGAAATAAATAACACAAAATAAACTGTAGCTATGCGTCGATTCCACGCGGCATGTCCGAACATGTAAGCTAAACAAAAGTGTGGAGGAAGTGAGTAATCAAGAGTTGCGTGGCATTCAAACAAAAGACGAATCGACGAGATTTGAAAGTCGCGTAACTCTGGGTTCGCGTAAGTCGAGGTATTACTGTACTTTATTTCTCTGGCAAGTTCTGAATAAGGTATAGATAGTTATCTGATATAATCTGGGTGGGACAATTTCAAATAACTGATTAAATTTAGTATGAAAAAAATAAAAAGATAACATTTTTATTTTATTTAAGTTATTCAGTTTAAATTTTAATACAGTATTAAAAATAGGTTAAGGCATAAAAATTTAATACATACAAACTGTGGCATACCTATGGGGGGTGATGTGGATGTTGTATCCCCAGAGGCTTTAGGACTAAATTTAAACTAAAAAAAATTTGTCTTAAACAACAAATCTAAAATTACATTTTATTAAAGAATAATTCAATATCATTCAATTATTTCATTTATTATTAAAATAATAAATGAATGTTTTGTTATCAATTTCTTACTTATACAGTGGTACCTCAGGATACAAAATTAATCCATTCCAAAACTGAGATTGTATCATGAAAATGCCATAAGGTGATTCATTTTTCCACATAAGATTACATGTAAAACTAAGTAATTCGTTTCAACATGAAAAAAACACTCAAATTAAAGCTAAGTAGTACATAAAAAAAAAAAAACTATAGTAAGGGAAACACTGAAAAATGTGTTTTGTAGTTGTAAATGTATAAATAACCAAACATCGCATAACCCGATATATATCTACACACCAACCGAATGCCGAAAATCTATCAGGCTAGTATAAGGCTAATTATTAAATGAATTACGTAACCAATTTGGCTTTAGAGGTAAGCGTTAGGCACCATCTCTTATTAACATTAATAATTATAAATAAATTAATTAATTTAAATAATTTAGAACCACTGGGAGAAAAAAATCGGCCCGAATTGGGACTCGAACCCACAACTCCTGCTTACCGTGCAGATGCATTGCCATCGATGGTTATATAGTTAGCTTCTATACGCTGGAAGAGGAGATAGGACTGGAGGTCTGGATAGCGTAACTGGCAACGCATCTGCATGGTAAGCAGGAGTTGTGGGTTCGAGTCCTGCTCCGGGACGATTTTTTTTCTCCCTGCGGTTCTAAATTATTTAAATTAATTAATTTATTTATAATTATTAATGTTAATAAGAGATGGCGCCTAACGCTTACCTCTAAAGCCAA